GTATTATTATCATGGAGATAATTAAAATTAATGCATAAATTAAGATCGATTGTCAGAATCTCGATTTTATTATGAGCCCAAACCAACCTGAATAGTTTTGGCCCCGGACAGCGCTGGTAGACGTGACTGGCGAGCCAATACTGTACTGTCATATTCCAGGCCTTCATTCCCTCACGTACAGTAGGAGTAAACTCACAACCCCAAACGGAGATGTTTTCAATAGTAGCACAACTGTACTCTTTCTCAAGCAGACGGAGTCTTTGATCCTCAATGAGGATAGGGGAAGAACTGCTTGGTTGCTGGCCACCAGAAGAGTAGTGATGACTGAAGCCACTTCCCTCTGAAGATGGATCATGTGACTTACGAAGTCGAATGTGCCAACTAAAAGAAGTAAAGAAGGCAGATGGCGAGTGACATAACTGACTCTCCAAGATCAATTAGGGTTGATCAGGGAGCTTAGAAAACGGATTTTAAGTCAAATCAAAATTTTGAAAAAGCGAGTTGTTTTCCGTTATTTAACTAAATGTTTAGACTTACAACTCAATATGAGGTTCATAAAGCCTAGCATGCGCATTAATATTCGTTTTAAGTAGGATTAACAGACTTTCAGTAGACCTTAAATAAGAGCTTTAGTCGCCCTAGGTCACTTAAGTAGATGAACGACTAAGAGTGAATTTTCCCATTGGATTTCACTTAGCCTTGCTTCTGAAAAGACAATCTCATCCAGAGTGGGCTGCAGCTCCTACCTAACCTAGGTCTTATCAGCAATCCTGACAGTCGCAATGCAATACCCGCGGTATTTCAGCGAATAATTTTGCTGTTACCACTAGGTCTGACCGCCACAAACACTATGCAGTTACAGAATAAAAGTAAATTCCAAAGCCGAAACCGCAGTCCACTTCGGACAAGAATATCTCTTAAGAAACAAGGCTAGGTGAAACTTGCTAGCATCGTGAGGCTCATTCATCTAATCATGGGAAGATTCGCCGTAATTGACCTATTTTAACTAAGTTAAAAGAAGGAACATGACCAGCTACAAATAGGTAAGCTATTTTGAAAAAGTGTTCGTAACATTAAGGGATAATTATTTCTTAAGTAGTGTCTTCTTAAAACTAAGAAAATAGTTTTCACTTAAAATACCTGCATAACAGCTGAGAGTCATTATAGCGATTCGAATGATAGTAAAAGTCTGACAAAAAAGTAAAGGCAAATTGTCAATACCACTCTCCAATAAATATAAAATAAATCAAGTGGATTATAGCCTGCGCAAACGCAGGAAAAAAGGACAGCGAAAATTTGCATGAATTATCTAAATAAGCAAGGTAAAAGTCAGAAAAATAAGTTATCATTCCAAAGATTAGAAACGCACATAGATCGTGAAGAATAAAAAAATATTCTGAAGTGCAAATAATGACATGGAGCTAATTGCATAAATATATGAAATGATTATTACCAATATTATGATAATACACTTGTAATCAAAGGCCGAAAGTGCATGGGGAAGTTCCTCAAAGAATAGATGAAAAGTTAAAAATAATATGCAGGCAAAAGAATGGCACCCGGAAGAAGAATAAGGTGCATATGGAAAAGAATTTTTTAAGGTAAAATCAAGGAGTGGATGAAGTGCAAGCGACGTTAAGAAGTCTGTATTAACTTGCATCCTCAAATGAGATCCCCAGAGATGAAAACAAATTTGGATCTTTAGAATAAGTAGTTACATGAGTCAATGAGACAAAGGGATTATAATGAAGCAAAGTGTAAAAAATTGGCGTCAGAACCATGGAAGTGTGCCCAATCGTAGAATTCGATTAGGATATGCCCAAAATATAGGTTTAATGTATTTGCCTAGCAAGATGCCGTAGGGCAAAA